AACCTAAATTGAATTAGAAAACATGGGAGAAACAACTCACTAAGGGTAGAGGAGGATTCGGTGGTGGTTGCCCTTAAAACGGCCTAGATGGAGGATTCGATCAGTTTTAATTATTTAAAAAAAAATAAAAATAAATAAAGGTCGAGGCTTACCGGCTGCACAACGGCGGGAGGATGGAGGTGACGGCGGTTTTGGTCCCAGCAACGATGGAGGAAGTGGATCCTGTAGAAATGGTGATGGTGGTTAGGGTTTAACGGGAAAAAAAAATTATTAAACTTACCAATCGGTGGCCAGGGGTCAAACGCGGTGGCGGCGAGACGCCGGTGGTTGCGTGGAAATGGCGCCTTTTGAAACTTCGCCCCCTTTTCTCTTTCCCTTTCTCTTTCTCGTTCTTCCGTCGTTCTCTCTCTTACCCCTATTCACTACTAGAAAACAGGTCATTTCCGACGGAAAAATTCTGTCGGAATCAACCTGAATTCTGTCGGAAAACCTGTTTCCGACGAAATTTCCGTTGGAACCGGTTGTCGGAAGACCATTTGTAGGAAATATGACCTATTCCGTCGGAAGAGTGTTTCCGTCGGAATAGTTCCGTCGAAAGTGGAATTCCGGCATCAGAAAAATCCGACGAAAAATTCTGACGGATACTGTACCGTCGGAAAATGGTTTAAAAAAACAAAAAAAAACCTTCCCACCACCCCCATCGCCAGCCCACACCACCAGCCCACCCCCTGCCCCTTACCCACCCATACCACCATAATAACCCATGACTGCCGCCGTCACCCACCTCCACCTTAAACCACCCACCTCCACCCCGTAAACCACCTACCACCACCAAAAATTCGAAAACCCACAAAAAATCACAAAAAACAACGAAATCAACCTATAAAAATTAAACAAAAAAATAACGAAATAAACTCAAATTAAACAACGAAATCAAACATTACCCACACAAAATCGAAATTAACCCACAATAATAAAAAAAAATAAAAAAAAATAATCAAACCAAATTAATAGAAAGAAAACAAAGACATACCTTCAATTCCACCTCCAAAACCTCGAAATTGGGATTATATGGTTAAATTCGACCATAAAAACTCCAGATCTGGAATATTTATGGTCGAATTTGACCATAAACACCATAATTATTCGTTCGTTGACGACCACCAGCCCACACTCCACCGTTTTGTTATCGAAAATTCGAGGAAATAGAAAAAAATGAAGAAGAAAAAGAGAACGAAAATGGAGAAAAAGAAAAGAGAATAGAGAAAGGGAAATAAAAGAGGAAAGAAAAAGAAGGAGAAAGAAAACGAAGGAGAAAGGAGGAGAACGAAGGAACAGAGAAAGAAAGAAGGAGAAAGAGGAACAGAGGAAAGAGAACGAAGGAGAATGAAGGAGAACGAAGGAATAGAGAAAGAAAGAAGGAGAAAGAGGAACAGAGGAAAGAGAACGAAGGAGAAAGAGGAACAGAGGAAAGAGAACGAAGGAGAATGAAGGAGAACGAAGGAACAGAGAAAGAGGAACAGAGAAAGAAGGAGTATGAAGGAGAAAAGAGGATAGAGAAAGAGAAGGAGAAGAGGAGAAATAAAGAGAAGGAGTAGAGGCGGAAGAAAGAGAAGAAAGAGAGGTACCGGTTTTAAGGTTTTAGGGTTTGGTAAAAAAAGGTTTTAATTTTTTTTAATTAAATTCCGACGGAAAATTCCGTCGGAAAATTCCGACTATAATTCCGTCGAAATTGTAAATTCGACGGAAAATTCCGTCGGAAAGCACATATATTCCGATGGATTTTCGACAGATTTGTTGAATTCGTCGGAAATATCCAACGGAACATAAATCCGTTGGAAATTTCGATTTTTCCGACGTAATTTCTTGTTCGTCGGAACTAGTCCGTCGAAATTTGCCTGTTTTCTAGTAGTGATTCTTTTTCGTTCGGTTTCACACGGCGGCGGCGGTGAGACACCGGTGGTTGCCAATGTGAAACTTCGCCCCCTTTTCTCTTCCCTTTTTCTTTCTCTTTCCCTTTCCGTCGTACTTTCTCTTCCCCCTATTCTTTCTTGTTTTACAAATGAGTAGATCTAAACTCGTTTTGTTTTTTTTTTTTTAATTAAAGACTTTTCGATGGAATTAAATTCTGTCGGAAACTAGAACTTCCAACGGAATAAAACGTCGGAATTATAGCGAGGGATATTCCGTCAGAATATTTCGACGGATTAAAATTCATCGGAAATTTCGAATTTTCCGACGGAAATTGAGGTCCGTCGGAACTATTCCGTCGGAAAATGGCCTTTTTCTAGTAGTGAATTAATTAAATACTTTCTGACGGAATTTTTTTTCTGTCAGAAATTAGTACTTCCGACAGAATATTCCGTTGGAATATCCTTTACGACGGAATATTCCGTCGGAATTTTCCTACGGTTTAAATTTCATCGAAAAATTCGAATTTTCTGACGGAATTTTAGTTCTATCGGAACGATTCCTCGAAAAATAGCCTATCTCTAGTAGTGCATGCACATGCATGCATGCAAGTGCCTATGCTTTAAGTATAGTACGGAGTACTACATTTTTCTGTATTATTGTCATGTGCTGTGCCTTAACACGTTAACATTTACCGTTTGATTTATTTATAGGTGATTTTAACCATTAGCAGTATGTTTGAGTACCATGTTCTTTGCATTGCACTTGTCATTTTGTTCACAGATATCATTTCGCCTGTTTTTATTTAATAATTAACCTTTCAATAAATCGGATTCTACTCGCGCAACTTAGATTAATATGGTTCTTATATGTGTCCAACTACTGGTGCTTGGTTATATTAATGAAATATGCATCTATTATGATCAATTTGACAGGTTGTTGATCATGGTATGTATTAATTACGAATAAGACTTGATTAGGAAGGTTAGCCTGTATTGTGTTTAAAACAATAAATTTATTCAATTATTTTGAAAAATAAGATAGTGTATTTAAAATAATTCAGTAATCAATACTCCAACACTTCATGGTTAATTTTATTATTCAATTCAATGTAATGCTTCATGTCTTTTCGTGCAACTGCTTATTGGATTGCACAATACAAGATAAGAAACCTTAAATAATGAATTCAATGGCCATGGAAATCTCTTATTATGTTGTTCATTATATAATTGGAGTATTGGAGTAAACTCTAATGTACGTGTAAGTTCCACAGAAAAATAAAGCCAACAAATGATTAACATAATCAATCTTGTATAAAAATATATTATCTTATTAAAATACAATGGACTTTGGGGGCTCATAGGGGCCAAGCTAAGGAAAGATCATAAATCTTCGGTCTGGAAAAAATGGACACACTCTGTATTGATATTGGTAGTTTGAACTGCCAAGTGCCTTAGATGTAACAAGCACTATTAGTATGGAGATTGGAGAAGAAGCTAAGACTTTTAGCAGCCTGACAACACAGAGAACGAATTGAACATAGTCACAAATAAATATTACTTATAATGTGAAAATGTACTGACAAATTTAGTCGACGTAATCTTAGGTTGAAAGTTGAAACTTGCTTTTGTTAAAACAGACATTGCAATGTAGGAAGAGCCAACTTCAATACTTTCATTTTGACAATGACATCTGCTTTGTAGTTTTTGTCATCTTGTGAAGACCACACTCTCCAACCCAAAGTTGTGCCACAGAGCCAACGGGATGATTACTACTTCCTCCGTTTCACTAAAATTGTAACTGTTTCACTAAAATTACAACACTTTGATTGAAAATGCGATAGCTTTTTGGTCAAAGTGCTACAATTTTAGTGTAACAGAGAAAGTAAAAGGGTCGCCAAAATGAGAATTGGAATGGACAAAGATACAGAGCAATGCTACAAAGGTACATTCTTCCTCGGTTTTTTTAACAGAGTATAATGTAATCCATTACTCCCTAAATCCCTTTGTTACAATACAAAGTTCTTATTTTATGTTATAGTTTTAGTGACTTAGTGAGTAAAAAAAAAGTACTAGTAGATTTATTGAATCCCATTCAAATTTACATAGAAAAAAGAGTATGGTATAGATAAATTAAGGGAACATGCCATTTAGTAGTTGATACTTTGAGATGTTATTTTGGTCACAAAGTCTGATGCGCCCATACTAATATCGAATGAATTGGCAACAACCTTAATAGACTACTAACAAGGCCACAAGGGAAAAGGCGAAAGGAAGCCCATTGCTCGAATTGGGTCAATGCAAAGCAACTTTAGCCAATGGGCTTTACCAAGGTTGTTTAGACTTTTTCTGTAAAAAAATGATTCATCAAGTTACGCACAAGAATAGGAAGCCAATAATAACATTCCATATCCATATTACCAAAACCCTTAGCCATGTTTTGAGCTTGATGCAAGCGTTCCACGCCTTTGCCTTTGCCTTTGCCTGTGACAATCAGTGGTCACATGACCGAAGCTGAGCTAGCAGCCATCGTACCACACTTGCCTACAAGGATTTAAGCTCCTTGTATATTGACGGGGATGGATGGACTGGTGTTGTTACAAGATTAAGTACACGTAACTATGAACTCTGGATTTAAGGATCGGAATCATCGGAGTACATAAATACATCATACACGGAGTAGTGTATAATTGTGGATTAGAACTTGGTTACTTGTATTTAATAATGGGTCTTGAATGAACAACTATTCTATGGGCTGATAAAATTATGTTATACTATTGGGCCCATAAGAAGAAAATCCCATGCCAAATAACTATACAGCCCACTAAATTCACAAAACAATGGATCAATAGAACAGACTACGACTATATTTGTTTTTTTTTGAGATTGACTTTTGGTGATTAAGATAACACGCAATGGCCTACCATTTGTAAGTAGCAAGATAAGCATGAACCAACTCCTTAATGTGGCGGTAGCCAGCTTTTAACTTAGTGTGTTTGCCATTAAGTGCACATTTATACTACACTACATACTACATACACATCCTCTTCTACCAACCCCAATTTCAAACTAACATCACCTTCATCTTCCATGGCTAACCACCGAGACAACGCAAACTCGGGTTCAGGAGGTCCTACCATGAGGTGGAGCCAAGGAGCTGCCTCGGATGGCAGCTGGGCATACAGTTGGGGGGCTGGTTCGGTCCCGGGTGGCCCTAGCTTTGGTTATGGGTCAGGTTCAGCGACATCAGAATCAGATGGTGGCAGCGGTACTGGGTTTGGGTTTGGGTTCGGTTGGGGTGCTGGAGCAGCAGGTTCAGGTTCAAGTCTAGCTCGTCCAAGGCAAAACCATAATGAAGGGTTTGGTGAATTTGGTCAATCACATATGCCACCCTTTGGGGCTAGGTTCTATTATGGTATGCCATTTACCAACTTTTATGGGGGGCCGATGTTCGGACCACCTAGACCGCAACATGGATCTGATAATGGTGGACGAGGTAGACAAATAGGTGGTGCTTAGGCTAGCTAGCTTGTTCAGTTACAACACACAATAAGCAACAAACAGATCAGAGAATGTAGTATACATGTAGATAATGCTTAGCTTGCTTGTTCATCTATATTAATAAGGTTGGTGTACTATGTTATTAGTCGTACGAATTACAAAGTATGTAAGTAGCAGTTACAACATACACACAATATCCTAGTCCTTCACATAAACCATTAATAAACGTGTATATATATACTTCCAAACAACTTTTTATAACCCTGAAATACATCTCCCGGCCCATCGTTATTAGAATTCAATACCAAGTCTCGGAAATCCTTTTTAAATAAAAAAATAAATAGTTTTGTTTTGTGTATTATAAATTTAACCTTTAATTTTAGAGAACTTTAAACTTTTTTGGACTTGTAAAATAAAGTGATCAAGGTCCTTCTCATTTCACCTCATGAGAACCAAGGAGACCACTTGGGTGTTGGGTGGTTAGACTTTTCTAATATGTGAATATGTCTATCAATAATTATCTATTTAATTGGTTAATAAGAACTTGTCTCTTAACATTGACCCAAGGTCATCATGAGCCTTAACGTGATCGAGTAATGAGCGTATATGATTCTAAACAAACTTTATATGACCCATGGATTTATCCCTCATCGTCACTTGAGATTTCAATACTTGGTTTCGAAAATTTATAAGATAATTAGAAGTTTATTATAATCTACAAATATAGAGAAACTTCCACCTTTATAGTTGCAAAAAAAAAGACAGAGGTTGATGTGTTTTCCATGGGTCTCTCAAGACTCTGGGAGGCCACTAGAGCGGTTGGGTCTTTCTTTTTTGTCTCTTCAATATCAAATTATCCGAAAAAGAAAATGTCTCATTGCCATTATTATATTGACTCAAGACTATTCTGAGTCTTTTTTATATAATCAATTTAGAGTATTGAGCGTACATTGACATGAACACTGTAACTAAAAGTAATAACAATATTAGAATGGATTTTACTATTTTAGGCAACCAAATTCATATCAGTCAATTTATTTATTTATTTTTGGAATGATCAGTCAATTTATCTTCGTATTGTGTTAATTATGAACATAGTTTTGGTTAAATACTCGTACGAATAAAATTATAATTATACTCGTCAAGAAACCTTGATGTGTTTTGTGTAAAAAAAAAATATTGAGAAGGAAAAACCCTAAACTAGAACTACCACTTTCCCACCCAAATTCTTGGTTACTGCTCCAAATTTAAAACAGCTCCCGGAGTCCCGGTGCCGGCCTACCTGCAATTCAACTGATTTCTTCTCTCTCCCACCGCCGCCATTGAAGCACTGGTGCCAAGGTCAGGTTTCGTCCTCTCCCCTGCTCTCTCACTCTCTTTCTGTAGTTGCTACTACTATGATTTTTCAATACTATGAGAAATTGGACGTTAAATGTATTTTAATTTGAGGTATTAGCAGCATGTCTGGACTATCGCTTGGAGAAAAGAACTTCATACGAGGTGGTATTGCTCAAGATCTTCGTTGTGATGGTCGAAAACGCTTATCTTACAGACCTATTCATCTTGATACTGGGGTCATTTCACAGGTCTTACTTCTTATGTCCAAAGTTTGATTTTTTAAACAAATTGGTTTGAGTGTAATTAATGATCCTTCATACTTGGAAATTGAGATGATTGCTTTGGTTTATTATAGGCAAATGGTTCAGCAAGAGTCCGAATTGGGGGAACTGATGTCATTGCTAGTGTCAAGGTTATATTCTTTACATTGTTTTGGAAACCCTCTTTTGTAATGAATTAAGTTTTCATCAACTTAGTTTTGGTTGTAATGTGTGTGTTTGATCAAGTGCAGGCTGAATTAGGGAGACCCAATTCGTCTCAACCCGATAAAGGAAAGGTTTCCATACATATTGATTGTAGTGCTACAGCTGCACCTATCTTTCAGGTCTTCTTTTTCTTTCTATTGTTCTATCTCTTAAATGATTGTCTATTAACTCCCTTCATCACCGTATAAAGGATTAAGTATACACTTTGAGATGTTCATGGGATAGTACTCTTTTTCTTGAACTAGTGGCGGTATTTTATGATTTGTTAATCTTGGTCATATTGAACGATGGAGAATGAAATAGGATTACGCAGGTATTATGTAGCAAAATCAAGTTGAATCTTAGATTGTAAGGGAGTCGTACAGGCTATTATTTCTGCAAAGATTAAGTATTCATTTCCTATAATTTATTCTTGAATTCTAAATGTCTTGTTAGATTAGGAAGTAGTCTTCATCCCAATCTCCTGTGATTTTGTATAGATTGTTGAAAGCCATAGCTCAAACGTGTTGCTGTCTTTCTCCTGTGGTTTGTTTTGTTGGTTGCCATCATTTGAACTACTAATTTTTGTCAAAAAGAAGAGTAAGAATGTAAGCTATGCATCCAAATAGCTTTTTGTAGTCTAAATTTCAGTAGCTGACGGCATATATGTGACGTATTTTTTTGGGCTTGAGTTTTATTCTGTTTGTACTCCATCTTTTGATGATTTTGTTACCCTGTATACTAGGACAAGTGAATATACATTTTAAAATCAAATAATTACTGTATATGTCTCGGGTCACAGGGCAAAGGGGGTGAAGCATTATCAACAGAACTTGCTGCTGATCTTCAGCGTTGCCTCTTGGGTGGTAAAAGTGGAGCAGGTAGGATATTTTATTTAAGCATATGAAAACTTGGTGTGTTTAATCAAGGTGAAAGAGCTGTGGATAATGTTTGATACACTTTGTTTTAGGAGCTGGAATTGACCTTTCATCCCTATCTATCGTGGAAGGGAAGGTTTGTTGGGATCTTTATATTGATGGCCTTGTGGTTAGTTCAGATGGGAATATGTTGGATGCCTTAGGTGCTGCAATCAAGGTATTAATGATTTTTTTTGTGCCGCTGCCAACCTTTTTAGTTGTTTCTAATATGTTCATTAAATTAGCTTGGTCTGTTATCATATTACCGTATGACCTCTGAGATCCGTGTCAATCAAAACTTTGAGAGCTTGTTTTGTTTTTTGTTAAAGTCACATCATACATGAGAGTTGAGGAAGTACATCTCCCCCTACATTAAGGTGAAGAGAATTTACTCTTCTACTCTCAATTCCCCGTTCTGTAGTCCTGTACAGCTTTCAACTTTGTTTGATGGATCTGCTGTACTTGCATGAGGTGCTTATGCTCAAGCCATCTCTATCAATGGAGCTATATGTCCTTGAGGTTTTCAGAAGCTTTGCATCTTAACTTCTATAAAAAGAGGATGTAAGGTTTTGATATTAAGAATCATTTATTTTAATATAAAGTGGAACGTGTTCCAGAATGTACTCACGATTTCCGTGGACATCTGTGTTGCTGCTATAGTTGTGAGACTTGTGACATTGGTGCTGACATTCTTCTTTAAGTACTACATTTATACTTGATGGTCTAGAGTTCATGTTCGCTGATGTCACTCTTTTACAGGCTGCTTTAAGTGATACCGGTATTCCAAAAGTTAATGTCATTGCTGCTGATTCGACATCTGCTGGTGATCAACCTGAAGTTGATATTAGTGATGAAGAATTTTTACAGTTTGATACTTCTGCAGTCCCTGTCATAGTAACATTAACCAAGGTTCCACAACTTTCATCACGACATTCTTTTATAAAGCATAAATGGCGTACTTTGATTTGTTTTAATCAAGTTTGATGCTCTTTTGTAACAACTCTGCATTATGCAGGTAGGAAAACACTACATAGTTGATGCAACTGAAGAGGAGGAATCTCAAATGAGTTCCGCGATGTCTGTCTCTATCAACAGGAAGGGACTAATATGTGGTCTTACCAAGCGTGGGGGTGCAGGTGTAGATCCAAGCATAGTCCTTGATATGATCTCAGTAGCAAAACATGTGAGCGAGAATTTTATAAACAAATTAGACTCCGAGATAGCTGCTGCAGAAGCTCGTGAGGAAGAATGATGAAAATTGGTTTACATGTTTAAACTAAGCTCTTAGTTTTTGCTCTGTATTGAATTTTGACCTAGGAAATTATGTTTCATACAGGTAGATTGTTTGTAACTTTGTAAGTGTCAAAATATCGTTAATATTACAAGTACTATTAATGGCTAACATTTTATCCCAGTATCATAGATCTCCTCGTTAATCAAATGCATAATATGAGATTTATATTTGGCCATGCGGAAATGCCTGAAACCACTTCTTCAAGTGCTCTCCAAATGTTCAGATTATGCAGCTGTACGTGTCTTTTCCAATAATGGTATTCTTTGTATGATTATTATTCCGTAATTTTGTATCAATTGTGCATCACATACAACAGATTGTGCCAGCATTCAACACTCGTATAATCGTATTTGTTACTGAAGTTGCATTATATCTTAAATAAAACTACTAGTACATACGAAGTAGTATTTAAATAAAAATCTAAATACTTGGGCCAATATGTTTGATATAAGAAAAGGGCTGAACTGTTCAAGTAAAGTTGGGCTAGGCCTAAAAACCTTACTAGCAAAGCACACAAAGACAGAGTCTTTCTCTCTCTTCCAAAAGTCACAAATAGATAAGGAAGTAAGGAAGATAACTATTTTGCAGCTTCATCTTCTTCCGCTCACTCTCTCTCAAAAATGGCGCAGACTCTGGCGACGCCAGTAGCACCATCAGTGTCTCTAATATGCAACACTAAGCCCTCAATTTCTCCCTCCTCATCTTCTCTCTCTTTCCGCTCCATAAACCCTTCCAAGGTACCAACTTTCTGCTACTTCTTGTTGTTATTATTGCTGCTAATATTTAATCAGACTAACTTATGAATGATTTTGAATGTAGAATATCGGTGGGTTAAGAATAAAATGTGTTCGTGTTGGTAATGTTGAAATTCCAAACAACAAAAGGGTGGAATACTCTCTTCAGTATATCCATGGAATTGGGCGTTCTAGGGCTAAGCAAATTCTTTCTGATTTGAGTTTGCAGAACAAACTTACCAAAGAATTATCTGATGATGAACTTATCCAGGTCAGAGATGAAGTCTCCAAGTACATGATCGAGGGTGACTTGGTATATTCTGTTCTTTTTGTTAATTTCTACTGATTTTAATTTATGTGACTGCTTGTTTCAAAAAAATAATAATGTGACTGCTGAATTATGAAATTGAATTAATTTTTGAATTTGGGTTGGTGGTTTAGTTACAATTATAATCTGGGTTTTTAGTTGTTTGAAGAAATTAGAAGTTTTACTGTTTGATGGAATATGTTCATTCTTGATTGCGGATAAAATTGTCCAATTTTTAACTTGGATATATGTTAAATTGATACTATTTTTCATTGTAATAGGTTGTGAAAATTGATAGAATTAGTGATGTATTGTTCTTGATTGGAATTTGGGATTGTATTTGTATATGCAGAGGCGATTCAATGCTATAGCAATTAGACGATTGAAGGAGATACAATGCTACAGAGGGATAAGGCACATTCAGAGTTTGCCTTGCCGCGGACAACGAACCAAGAACAACTGCAGGACTTTGAAGAGGGGAAAAAGAGTTCAAATTGCTGGCAAGAAGAAGCCCCCTGGTCCTAAATAGTTGAACTGGTTTGCCTCTTTTCTCTTCCTGTAATTGGGTGCAATATGGGCATTCGATTATTCTAATTGTAGTTGCTCAGAATGCATTGCTTGTAATTTTGTAATATTGATTTCTCTAGCAGTTATTGCTTCAAAGTTTAAATTTCCTTATTGCTTATTTCTCATGCTCCTCCACCTGATGTGCATCTGTTTAATGCTCATTCCTTACAAATCTATGCCCTGTGTTGTCCTTTCCGTTTACCTATGTTTTCGTTTAATCCTTACACGGTTACACCTCAATAAGCTGTACCCTCTTTCTTAGCTAGCTCAGAAGACCAGAAATGGTATGCCCCCTCTTGACTCCAATAGTTGATGGCAACTTAGAAATTAGTTTAAGGGGTCTATACTCTGAATTACACTCAAACACCTTACACTTTAGTGAGGAGTAGTAAGTTGATGCTCTAGAAAGGTTAACATGACTTTTTCACCAGCATGATTTTTCAGTCTACCTGACCAGATTGAGACCACCTTTCTCTTAGATGAGTCTCTCCTCCGATAGGTGGATTCTGCTTAGTTACAACAGTTTATATACAATCTGTCATTATTCTTACTCTTGAGCTCAAGCTTCTTTTAATCCATACATTATTGTGCTGTTGTGCATATTTCTGTTACAATTTTGCAGAAATATGTGCTGCTGCTCCCATCATTCGATCACTCCTTTCTACTCTCCTTTTCTTCTTTATTTTTTCTCTCTTCCTTGCCTATCAATCTAGCATACATTCTTCCTTTTTTTTTTTTGTTGTTTTTTGACAAATTTAGCATACATTCTTCCTTTTTTTTTTTGTTGTTTTTTGACAAATTTAGCATACATTCTTGAAGAACCGTCTACAGTAGTATATACAACTCCTTCAGGACAAATACCCATATTCCATAACACCTGCCCTTCTAGTGCTAGCCGCATCACTTGCAACAAATTTCTTAGTCTGCTCCATAACCTTATGTGCTCCCCTTCATCTTCTTTTGCCTTAATCCATTTCATTTGTGTGAAAGCCTCAAAGCTCAGAGGGTTGTTGTAAACTCCACAACCCTCTTCTCATTTCTTTGAATAAGTAGACCTCAAAACACTGATACATGTATAATCATTACATTTTGCTTCCATGCCTGGTCATCCCACTTTCCAGATTCTTTTTGTCATCTAAAACGGGTTTTAAAGTGTTCTAAAAATAATCAATTACATAGATTCATGGCCACAAAACACACATGCTCTTTCCAGGATATCCAAGTTTCCTTTCCAACTAATTTCTTTTGTAGGCGTCGCCCTGTTTTGGGGGAATGTTCCTCTTCCAGCGCTTTCAGAAATCAAATTCCTGAAAGGTGATATGTGTTTCATTGTCTAATCCCCACTGTGTGTGTGTAAAATGTGATACTCTGTATGTGTATTCCTCTGCCACTGGTTTTTCGAATCTGTCCCAAATCAGAATTTTCATACTGCCATTTTGATAGGGAAAATAATTCTATACTGCCATTAGTCCGTCAAATAAAGGCTTGTGGGTAGCCTTGAGTCAATGAAAGAAGGTACTGTATATATGTAAATGGCTAAACTGACATTTTAAAGGCAAAGTAGATTGTTCTAATCACACTAATGGCCTCCCTAGGTATTTGTGGGTTCATGGAAAACTCTTTAACCCCTTTTGTTTCCGGATTCAAAAAAGTAAAACATTTCCAAAATTATAGGCTATAATCAACTCTTTTGGACCAATTTTGAAGATTTTGGGACATAAATTCGAAAAATGTCAGGATTGTGGAGGACACATTTCGGGGTCATATATTATTTTTTGGAACCCTATGCAATCATTAATCGGTCACATAAAAGAACGTGATGACCTTTAGTTGGTAAAAAAAAAAAATAATAATAAGGTGCATATGTAAATTACTTAAATGATAGTCCAACGGGAATATGGACAGTTCCAATCACCCAAATGGCCTTTTAGGCTGGTGTTGGGTCTATAGGAAGAATTTTGATCTCTTTTCTTTTCGAATTTTAAAAGTATTCAATTGTTTAGAATTGAAGGCTATAATTCACGTTATTTTTTACCAATATCACGTGTTTCGAGACCCAATGTTGAAAAATATTTGGATCGCAGAGGGCGCATGGTCGTATAATATTGTTTGGAACTTTTATATAGCCATTAGTCGATCAAATAAACGCTCGTGGTAACATTGAGTCAATGAAAAGAGGTGTATATGTAATCGGTTGTTAGTTTAAAGATAAAATAGATGGTTCCAGTCACCCAAATAACCTCTAGGGGTGTTGTGGGGTCCATATTAAGCACTTCGACCTCTCTTTCGTTTTAGGGCCTGAAAAAGGGGGGAAAATGGCAAAAGCTAAAGATTATAATTCACACTTTAGGACCTATTTTGAAGGTGGTGTTGAGAAATCTATGAGGGATACATTCCAAGGTCATTGGTCATATAATGTTTTTGTGGTGGCCTTGTGTTAATTAAGGGAGGCGTGTACATATAAGAAATTGGCGGTTAAAAGACAAAGTGAAGATTCCTACTACCAAATGGTCTCCCGGGGTGTTTAAGGGTCTATGAAAACTGAAAAGCACATCGAACTCCTTCCTTTTTGGGTCAAATTATGAAAATCGTCCAAAACTGAAGGCCATTTTCCTCCGCTTACTTTCTAGTTGCAACGTTTGCAATTTGGCACCGTTCAAATAATTCTAGTTGACCATCATTTGGTGACTAATAAGTAAGGAAAATAATAGTCATTTGCAATCTATTAAATTCGTTTTAATGTATGTTTTCATTAAATCAATTTTTTTATATATAATTTTTATCATTTTACGATTAAAGAAATGAATTGTTTAAATTATGCATCGGTAAGTGTAAAAGTCAAAACGTGCAACTAAAATTGTAGGAAGTAAGTATGTAAATTTGTTTTTAATCAAAGTAAACTTACAAGATCAAAAGTTTTGATGATAAGTGCTTACGGATCTAATAAAAAGACTAGCTCGGTGTAGCCGTGTAGGATATGTACAAGTTAAATAAATCTTCTGAAATTACTAGCAGTAGATTACGAGCATAACTTTTAAGTTGCAAAAACTATTGTAATTTGGACTAATATAAATCACAAATAAACGAAAATAAAAAAGATTGGAAGTCCTAAGATTCTAATTCACGTGAAGAAAGCATGATTGGCCCTTTTGAGGAATTTGGCATGAGATTCATGTCTCCTAAGACTACGCTTCACACTCCAACAAATGGGGTTACAGATAATATTACTAAATCAAATACCCAATAGCTGATTATCAATATACGTAAGACCTAAGACGGTAAGACTATAACTAATTCATATTCAATTATCTGACATGATTTAAATTAGAAAAATTAAGAATTTTAAATTTACAATATTAACATCAAATGTTTATTACTGACATTACCACATAATCTCAAAATGTATCATTAACACAAAACCTATAATTTGTTCAAATTGTAAAGTTTTAGTACAAATAAACTTTTTCAAAAAGAAACACAAGTTGGGGAAAAAGAAAAAGAATTAAGTGCCC